GACCATCGAGTTATATTACAAATTGATTAAAATTAAAATTGTACCACTGTACATTGATGTAGTTGTTTTAATGGTCAAACATTCACTGTCAAGTCCGAAGGTCCTAGTGTTGATATATATATATATATATATATATATATATATATATATATATATATATATATATATATATATATATAGCCATAAAGTATTATTACTTATTCGCCTAAAATGCGATGACATATAACAGCCATAATTATTTGAATGATTACTTTTCAGGGAACCATTATTCGATAAATACATCTTTTATCATTTTCTCAACTGATCGACTGATTTATTTGATAACTGGTCATTTGTGTTTAATGTGTTTTAAATGAAAACTACTAACCAAGTATTGTACAAATTCGAAAGGCATTAGCAATGACATGATAACGGATTCGTTTCCCTAGATGTATGTATATATGTTTTTTTGAGATGGTGGAGAAGATTTGTAGCTCAGGTGGATGATTTTGGTGGTGTTTTGTTCTCTGAGCTGGATGGTTTGGTCGTGGAGCTTTCATCGTTCTTCTGAACGACATCATCAGCACAAACTTCAGATAGAAGTGAAGTGTTCGTATTTCTCCATATGTGTTTCATAGCTTGTTCTGTGCACCTCGATGTTGATTGGTTCTTGTTGACCTTAAATCTATCATATATGTTAGATATCTTAAAATGATAGTAAATACATTAATTGAAAACGTTTTTGCTTCGTCAAGCTTAAAATAAGATTTCATCTGTTTGACAACATTTTTCTAAAGAAGTTTAGCGTTTATAGTTTTCAACTCAGTGAATCTTACGATTAGACTCAGAAACTATAGAAACCGAATAAACTAATGGATTCATAATTCAATTGATCACGAGGTCAGTGTATAAATTAAGTCATAGGCATCCAACATGTTACTAAGTCATTGAAATATAATTAAAATCCAAACCTTCATTTTAATACAATTGGTCTAGATGTTAAGCGTTCGCGCGCAAGACCGATAGGTCCTGGGTTCGAATCTTGCAAGATAGGATCGTAGATGTGCACTGCTGAAAAGTCCCACAATAGGATGAAACGGTTGTCCACTACTACCAGGTTTTCCATGGTGGTCTAACTTCAATTGACTCATGATCTCAACCATTAAAATTACTATAATATCCACAAAAACCATTCTGATACGACTGAATAGTTTAAAACCATGCTAATTAATCTAAGTTATTATTATTATTATCAGCTTTATTCAATATTATATTTTTAGTACAATATAGAATTCTGAGCACAAAGTATTTCAACAAGTTTCCGTTTCTTTCTTCTTGGTCGGTCCTGGCGATAGATATCGAGTAATCGCCAGTTAGATGTCAGCAGTTCAGTAAATGAACATCTGAATAATGTGCATTCTTTTCGCTGTATATTGCCAGCAACCACATTGTCTCTTATTGAGTTTTTTGTAACTTTGACAACGAAAGGTTGTACACTTTTCAGAAACGCAGCAGAATAGGTTATGCGATTAATAAACATAATGATACATTAAAACAAACAATAATAGATAACTTGTTGAAATATCTAGATGGCAAGAACAGGTAGCCCAGATTCTCAAGCAGGCCGCACACACACTCTCTCTGTCTCTTTGAATTGTTCAGTCTTGAAACATTTAGCATAAACAGAACAATGTTTAAATTCAAGATTCTATGTTAAATGATGTCGTTAACTGATTTCTTAAAATCTTATTTTTTTAAAGGTGGAAAATTTCACCAAAAAAACAACATACAAACAAACAAACTATCCAAATATTCAGTGTGATAGTATGAAAAGATTATAGATACCGAAAATAATTCACAATATGATCAGTCACCACCACTTTTTAAAAAAAATATTGATTATACATATTTATTATATTAACTGAATTGAGTTCAACTCCTATGGATATTTGTATACTTTTCTATATAGTGAACATTTTCATTATATTAATCCAAGTATATAAAACTATAAGTGAAAATCAAACAGTGATGAGTGATACTTTCATAACATAATCAAACATTATAAGAAGAGATATATGATAGTTAGCAGTGGATATCAAGATGTATGCTTTATCCTATTTGTTTCAAGCCCTGGGGTGAACATTAATTCGGATGTGGCAGGTATATACAGATGATGAATCATAAATAGGATAAAACGCTCATCCGTAACTTAACAGCTAGTTAGCATTCATTTCTAGTTAAAATACTTATGATTGAATGACTGTTTCAAGCCAATCCGTACAAGATGCATACATGTCAGTAAAAGAGAGATCAATTGCAGTCCTCAACATCAATAGATGATTCAGGTTAACCAATACAAATGAATAACTGAAGGTTATTTAATTAAATGTAAACCAAACTTATTTCGAGGAGTGAGATGTTGGTGGAATCAACTGGTATATTAAACTTTTTCGATGGTATAAAGAACCGACTATTCACATTTTATGTGATATGATCTATTTTTCATATCACGATACTAAAATATATAGGGCGAAAAGGACATACTTATACAATTCGATTGACAAGTAAAACATTGGTTACTACTCACTGATCACTCTGTATGAACATAAGTTCGATAAAATGTCAATCGCGAAACGGATAGCTCAATGGTAACCACTCTGACTGTTACATTGAGCGATAAAAGTTTACATTTCTTGACGAGTATTAGTTTACTTAATAATGTTTCATGTAGGACTTGTTGATAAGTTCCAACTAGCATGAAACTCAAGTTTCAGGCTTTTTGTTCAATGTCTTCAAATATGTCAACCCCTAGTTTTCTTAAAGAGTTCAAATCAAACAACATTGATCAATTAATTAATCATAAATGTTTAAAACAATTTAAAACAATTAGTCCCTTTGATAAATTTCGATAATGATATTAGAAGACGAAGATTATCAGAACATAGTTCTGATAATCTTCGTCTTCTAATCATAAATGGATTATCATTATCTGTGAACGTTATAGAAAAGTATAGGATCGAGACGAGCCAATTCGATTCAGTACTAAAACCTTTAGGTTTTTGCGGAAAATTCAAATACCATTTTATAACGATCAGATATTCTTCTGTACATTGCTCAAAACTTTCGATATGATATCAGGAAATGTGATATTGTTAAACATATCCTAAGTCTAATTTTACCTTTTTAGATCACATATAACATCTAAATCGAAACTAACCCTTAATTCTAGCTATAAACTATGAATTACGAAACAAATCATAACCTAATGGCACTAAATTTTATGAACCGACTGATCAGATAGTGTCCCTTCAATTTTTAAGTGAAATTCATCCATCTATATGGCTACTGATCACTTTTGCATTATAGCTTATGTCAGTTAATGATTAAATACCCAAACCTAAGTCTCTAAGCCTAACTCTAATTACTTAAGTTTAACTAGGAACAATTTGTAGACTCTGAAAAATCAGTTTTGGTTCTCATAAGAATTCGAGAAAGTGAACAATTTATAGCTGTAAGGACGAGTTCATACGCTATTGTTTTTTCGATTTACAGGTAGTGTAACTTGTAAAAGCCATTAATAGATTCATTAAATATATAAACTCTACTTATTATTTTCTTTAGCATCAATTAGCCATTTACAAAGCTGTTCTCTGATTGACTGAGAAGTGGTTAAATATTCGTTACAGTTGTTTTAAGCTCGTCCTTATAGTATACTCCACGATGATCCTCCTTAGAGCATTGCCTTATAATTCTCATCTCTGTAAATCTTTAGCGAATTTAAAAATAACGATTTTGTCGGCCGTGATGAATTTACTACAAAACTATTTACATCTATGAGAAAGATATGAAAGAAACCTAATACAATATGAAAATTGGAAAACTCGTAATAAGCTTTGAAAGATTCTAATCAACATCCTAACAACACTTCACTAAGTTTTTGACTGAGATTATGAACCGATTGATGTTAGACCACCACCTTCGGAAACCTGGAAGCACTGGACGGCCGTTTCGCCCTATTGTGGGACTCCTCAGCAGTGCGCATGAACGATCCTGCTCGCGGGATTCAGACCCAGGGCCTTCGGTCTCGTGCGCGAACGCTTAACGTACTGGACCACTGAGTCGGGATCCAATGGTGATAGTGTCTAACATCAACTAATCCACGAAATTGCGCGACCAACTTCCATTGTACTGAGGTAGATACCTGTCTCTACCCGATATGGATTAGCTCAACTGGTCACGGCTTCTCACTAGAACTCCGAGAATTCCCTCACGAAGCTAGTCACTAGTGAGCACATGTTGATTACTAGTATAGCGGTTCATGATCTCAATCAAAAGTTTAATAATCTCCACAACCCCTATACTAGTAACACTTCATTAATTCTGTTGTAAAATATTCAATCACTCTGTTGATTAGTTGATACGTACCTTCAATAATCGATGTGGTCAGTTTAAGAATCATTCAAATTGAGATCGATATTATGCTTTTACTCATTAGAAATAATGAAAAACCCAGCTAGAAACAGTTCTGTATTGAAATTAATTTCATGTAAAGGAATCCTTTCAAATTTTGAAATTGTATTAATAAAAATGTAAGATTCATCTTTTTTTTCTTTTAGGAAAACCCAGAAAGAACTGATAGTTATTACAGCACAATTCACTATTCAATTAATCCCTTTTATAAGAAACAATTCAATAATGTTGGGGTTAAAGCTTACAGAGAAAGTAGGGTTTTACAATTAGTGACAATTCAAGGAACATACAGAAGATAATCTAGACTGATTGATGCATCAAAATACAATTACACATTACTAAATATATATAAGGGAGGAAACTGATACAGCAAATCATTATAAAATTCAAACATAACTACAGTAAAATTTTGCAGGTTAAGCTGTAATTGGTGTATGTAAACAAAAAAGAAAGAGAAAAACAGTCACATGAATCGATCGATGCATCATTGATGAAACTAAGATTGTGCAATAAGACAAGTTACTAACTGATAAAGAAGCATTATGATTAAGTAACAATAGTAATAATAATAATAATAATAGTAATATGTTACAAGAGAAAAGGTTAAATGAAATGCAATTTTGAGTTAATTTTCACTTGTGCTCATTGAAGTGAAATTGTAAATTCTATTCAGATGTCATCAATTTATAGAATTCTAAAAATGTATAAACAAACAAGCAAACAAATAATTAGAAAAGAATTCAAAAATACAATTATAACTTTATATTGATAGTGGTGTATCCGGATGAAGAATAGTGAGTGGTACCTGTTAAGATCTATGTATGAATTATTATTAGATATATTCTTATTGTAACTATAATAGGTGTATATTCATATTCCTTTTATTATAAGCTTTTGTTTGACCTATTGACTACTATTTTACGATTTACTATTTTTGAGATATTCCCCATTTATTAGCTACAGTTTCTTACAATTACAGCCACTTTTTGTCTTGATATTATATAGTTGTTATTTTCTATTTTATGGTACGATGAGGTCTGGTTTGCTAATATATAAACATAGTATGTCTGAAATATATGATTCATGTAACGGAGACTGGTATTTAAGTTCTGTCCTGAACCGGCTGAGTTAGGCGAGAAGTTACTATCTCAAATGTTCATCAAGAACTCTAGGCTGTTTGTACAGGTTTTATGGGTCATTGGTTTGGTCGTATAAGTTGGTGTCTCAAATTGGTGATATTATCTCATGATATATGTTACGAGACAGCAAGCTATAATAGATTGTTTAATTTCAGTGGAGAAAATGAACGTGAATAGAAGATGATAAACTGATCTTTTTTCATAACTACATGTTAGTATTAAGGCAACAATATATACCCAAGAAACACACACACGACAACAAAGACTAAATAAAATTAGGTTTTATACAGCGATTTTTAAATAACTATACAATTAGAACCAGTTAATGGGCTTAATGAATAGCCAATGACGGTTTAAAGTGAAAAATACCAGATTCGAGTAATTGTGTGAACATGAATACTAAGATTTATTAATTAGATTCATTTAATAAATCTTAAGTGGAACAAAACGGGCATTTTTATGTCTTCTGAAAACTTGTGACTAAACAGTAATATTGAGACAATCCACTTTGAATACAAATAACCATAAAAACTGATCAGTTGCGGTCCCAAATATCAACAATCTTATAATACAAAGCTTAGAAAATAAATGTTTGGCTTATTTTATATATTAATACTGAAGATTTGTGAAGATTGTTGTGGTGACTGGAAGACTGTTGAAAACCAAAAATATTGGACGGATGTGTCGTTCTAGTATGAAGCTGAGTAACATGACCGAAAGACCACAAAGTATGTTCATTACCTGAAGTTGGAGCTAATTGTATTAAACCCTGTATGAGCCCAGACGGTTCTGTATTTGATCCATGGAGGGATCATGGGTGCGAACTGCTACAGAATCTCATACTAGTTTCCAGATCTAAAACTTTATTATAGACATCTGATCCATTAGTGTATCGCTAAATTACGACAGTTTTCATAACTCAAACAGGATTTATTGATAGTTTATAATGATTAGAGTAACGTTATCCAGTTGGTATACCAATGTATTCATATGATAATCAATACATCGCTAATAATCATAATATTAAGTATCATTAGTTGCTTAAAAGCCTTTTGATCTTTAAATTAGCTGAAAACACCTTCTAGTGGTTTTTGATGATGCTCTCTGTCAGCCAAGTTAATCATAAAATAGATATGTATAGATAATTTTTACAGCCTATTATTGTGTTGTATTACAACTCAGAATTAAAGTGGATGTGAATATTTCAGAACAGAAACTATCCGATTGATGACTTGGTAGGGATAATTTTACTGACGAAAAATTGAAGTGTTGAAAAATTGTATTCTACAAATGTAAATAATTTTATTGAACGCGTTGACGTTTGAGGTGGACGATATTGGGTTTGAGTCCCGAAGTGAACATTAATTCAAATGCGGCAGATATGTACAGGTGACGTATCCCATATAGGATAAAACGCTCATCCTAGACTTAACAGTTAGCTACCATACATTTCTGCTTAAAATGCTTGTGATTGAATGGCTATTTCGAGACAATTCGTACAGGATGCATACATGTCAATAAAAGATAGATCAATTACAGTTCTCAAAATCAATCGGTAGATTCGAACAACCAATATATGTATCAATAAACTTACCATCAAAGTCGACAAATCCTGATCCATCGGTATCAGTATCTCGAATCATGTCGTCTATTTCTTCTTCAGTAAGATCATCACCTAGACCTTTTAATATCCATCTGTAAGAAGGATGAAATCAAAAAAATTAATGCAAATAAATGTTTCGCAAGCATTTCATGCTACTTATGAGTAGTTAACATGTGTATATAAAACTAGACGCTCACGATCACATTGAAGTTGAACTGTTAGGTAACTTATTATACTACGTAATTGATCCCTTCATAAATTCGAATGAAACTATTATTTTTCAAACACTCATTTCATACATCCAACAGAATGTAATTTTCTTTTCAGTCAAATTGTTTGATAATCTCATACACATAGTTCCCTTTATCATTTTGAAAAGAGCAAGAACAAACATTCTGGCAGAATAGCATGAATTCATTTTTATTTCGTCGGTTCTCGTCAGCTGTTTAATAACATCTGGTCTCTTATGTATTAGACCTCATACCGATATTAGACAGAGTTGCTTTTATTTTGTGTTGAGGTCAGGCTGGTGATATTACTGGGCTATTAATATAGGCACGTGTAAAAGATATTCACCGGATTATATAGTCATCTTTATGCTTACCGGCTACAAGATCAAGTACTTATTTATAACTAGAAGTTCACTTCAAAAAATCCAATTAGATGATAAATATTTGAAGCACGAGTGAAATTATCAAGAATCTGAATTTACCTTAAATCTTCGACATCAATTTCTCCGCGTTTATTTTTGTCCAGAACTCGGAATGCATCTCTTAAATCTCTTTCATCTTGATCTTCTTGAAGTTTCTTTCCATAACAAATTAGAAATCCATTAAAATCAATGAATCCGGTAGCTGAATAGAGGAATAAAGAAAGAAATACCGATTAAAAATTCTGTAAAGCTTATTTGAGTTTAGTACAATGGTATTAGATTCATTCATGCACTGACTAGAGACGATTTAGCCATTTACCGGTGAGACTATAGTCTATGGACGACCTTTAGAATGTGCATCTACATATTAGGTTCAAATGAAGGTTATAAAGCAGTGTGATGAATTAAAATTATGATTTACAGTTGACGGTTAAGGTTAGGAGTTCGATTTGGGGTTTTCATCACGAACTGACATCAGCTAAAATACTAAAACGCTATTTAGCCAAATGCATGAATGAATATCGCGCCAAAATCCAAGACTCATTATTTTATATGTGATTAGTTCGTCTATAAATTATAATCTCACTAATGTATCTAGATCTTTTCTAAAATTTGGTCGGTACATATAAACTTATCATCAGCTCACTAAACAAAGTTTTATAAAGTCATATGAATAGGATATTAAGAATGAACAAATTATTCATTATCATTGAGATCATGAACCGATTGATGTCAGACCACCATTGAAAACCTGGAAGCAATGGACGGCCGTTTCGTCCTATTACGGAACTCCTCAGCGGTAAAAGAGAGCGGGATCATGGATACGCACTGCTGAGGAGTCCCACAATGAACGAAACGGCCATCCATTGCTTCCAGGTTTTCAATGGTGGTCTAACATCAATCGGTTCATGATCTCAATAAAAAAACTTAATGATCTCCACAACCCCTATACTGATATTCATTGTTAGTTATAAATCATTTTTGTCTACTTATAAATACGATTAAACTGAAGTCAGTAATGACATTCACTAATATGGACTCTAATGTGATTCGTCATATTTCTCGGCAGTTTTTTTAAAAATTCATTAGTTTGTAATGTGTTTATACTGTGGTAGTTTAAAAAGTAAGTCTCCAAATAATGTTCTATACCCGACTGTTGTTGCTACCTTGACGTGGTGGTCGGGCTTCCCTATCGTGATAAAGCAACCAAGCTATACTGGCTGGAACAACCGTTCCTCAAGGTCCTACCATAGGTTACAGAATCTTGAGGGGACGAATGGCGTATAACCCAATTGTTGATCACCGGCTACCATGGGATTGCATCTCTTGACGTTTCTTGTGGATTGGACCTTCAGATCGAAGGCTCCGGGTGTGGCCTCCTAAGAAAACCACCTGTTTTTATTTGGGCACCCGGGCAGTATCCCAGCCCTCACACAAATCGAATGATTTATGTGGTGCCTCCTTGTACCATTGTGTTTAAACAAATAATAAATAAATAAGGATTTCATTTCAAGCTCTAACTCTCAATTTATTTGCTTCTTTTATCCGGCAAGTTAGAATGCTTCGTATTCATATAACACATATGTAGACAGATAACTTCAGATGGTTAAAATGAAGTCCCCAGTGAAAATTATACTCTTCTATGCAATAGTAATACATTTTAAATGAACAAAATATACCCTGAAATATTGAATATTGCACAATTACTAAATATTGAAAGAGGATAACTATCCTCATACGAAAGAAATATAATTATAGGTTGAAATAACCCCTACATTCACTTGGTATTTTTTATTTGAATCTTCCCGACGCTTGTGAATTAAGGCGATATCGAGATAATACGCATAGTACGCACATAAACCAATAAGAGACTGATCAGTTGCAGTCCTAAATATCAATGGGAAGATCCGAGTAAACAATACCAAGTGAATTTCAACTTCACCCCATTGCACAAGTAAGTGGCTATCAGGACTCAATAGCTAAGTTGATAATGCGATGGCGTTTGAAGCGAATGGTACTGATTTCGAGTCCTAGAGTGGACATCAACTCTGAGATGCAGGTACATCCAGCTGACGAGTCCGAAATAGGACGAAACGCGTGTCAAACTGGATTCCACTGCTATCCACTATCCATCTCTGCTTATAAACCCTACATTTCTAATTGCTGATAAAATCACAATTCGATAAGGTTTTTTTATAGCCCTCTAGTTTAGTATTTTTACCTACCTATTAACTTCAAGTATTTCAACTAATCAATTAGTCAGATAATTACACTTCAACTGGTTCATTGTAAATGGCAATGTGTATTGATCAATATCATAATTAACCAATCACAAAATAATATAAAAGGAAGAATAGATTAATGATAGATCGATCATCAAAGAACTGATTATCTAAGTGCATTTTTTTCTATCCCATGTTTTTTGTCCAAAAATAAACAAACAAACAATGTACTTGCTTGATATAGTTTAAGAGTGTAATGGAGTAAGGATAAACTCCACTCCTATTTGTAATTTTGACCCTGCACCTGACACTATCGTACTTCATGAAGGAGGGTGTGTTTATTCTTTATCGTTTTTACTAGCTTACATGGTAAAATGTGGAGTTTTCCACGACGAAATTACCACTCTCTGTGTTCTCCCAAACTCTAATCTTCTGAATTCTTCATGTCCCTTTTTCCGTCTTCCCAAATTTCTTTCACCGGATTATACTCTTTAAATAACATCTCCAAACCCTAATCTTCCCGATTACTGCTTATACTCTTGCTACCTTTACCACTACGGGATTTGAATCGACCACTGCATCTCTGTGCTAATGTGGTGTGGCAACTCGAACTGATGTACGTACGTACGAAGTTCTACGTTGTTACTGACTGACTGACTGACTCCATCGTGCTACGAACGTGTCAAGTATAGCACAATCAGTCATGATGGAAGAAAAAATACAACACAGAAAAAGACAAATTCATTTTGTATTGCTTATTCGAATCTTCTCATTGATGTTCAGGACTTCAATTGATCAGTCTCTTATTATCATGTGTGCATCCTGTACGGATTGCCTCGATATTGCCTTAAGTCACAAGCATTCTAATTTGGATTTAATGCACGTTATTTTGGTGTTGACATTTATCAGTTCAGTTTCATGAAATTATTCTTGTTTTGAGTTATTATATTAATAATTCTGTTGTATTTGTTTGCATTATAAATCTTGGATTCATTGAATGATGATAGGGGACGAGTGGATAACACTTGTTCTTATTGTGTTGGTAACTATCTTCATATATTAACATACTTAAGCCTAATCAAACACCAAGCCGAATATTTATCACTCAATTTATTGTTAACTCTTTATTTAACTCAGTAACATTTATACATAGTTGCTCACTTAACACTTTATTCCTTAGCTAATCTAGAATTATTTTTATCTAGATTGGTCATTATTTCTTTTCATTGTTAAAATGATCTTTGTACCGGAAAAATAATTTATCTTGATAGATTGATGAATAAATTGTTTTCTCCTCAACTAGCTACACCAAACAAATTACTGTTTAATGCTTGAATCAAAGTTCCTTTTATACGACGTATCTAGTGACGAAGACAATTGTCACTTAGATGTATATTCAAATGTACGAAAGAATGATTACTTGGATGTATTCTGTTGTAAGGAAATGAATGTGTTGGCAATATCATTACTGATAAGATTATTAGTAAAAGGTGTCTACGTATAAACACTTTGAAATTCTTACCATCGTCATCAACCTGATCAGCCCATTCTTTCAAAGTGTCTGGTTTAACAGTAAGATTAAGTGCACGAAAAGCCGGACCTAAGTCAGTGGTGCTAATTTTTTCTTGTCCTCTTTTGTCAAAACGTTTGAAAACATCTTTGGCAACTGGAAAAAAGGAGAAAAATAGAAGTATTACATAATAAGTACATTTCTATACATTCCTACAATTGAATAATATGTGAAAACCGAAAGGACTGTCAGCCAAGTTGGAATTTTCAACACTAACAAACCTGAAACTTAGAGAACTCAGTATGGGAATTTATGAAGATTGTAGTATTTTAGTGCTTCCAGATTTTCAGTGGTGCTTTAGCTTAGATCAACTCGTGTATTTAACTTAGGGAACTACCATAATTGTCATAAAAAATGTACGGGTATTTATAAACAGCTGTCTACGCAAGACACACCAGATCTATTTGCCAAAGACTATCGGGAATAACCTACTATAGAAGAGACTAAACCGGGTCTCAGCTGGAGAAGAAATAAAAGAAAGAAACTGGAGCTAGATAGGTCACACTATAAGGAAAACATTAAATCGCATCACAAGGTAAAAGGAAAAGAGGCAGACCAAATAACACATTACGCCGGGAATTAGAGGGAGAAATAAAGACGATGAACGGCATTCGGCATCAACTGGAAAGGAGAACTCGGGACAGAGTTGGTTGGATAGCCGTGGTTGGTGGCCTATTCCCTAATAAGAGTGAAAGGATTAAGTTAATTATTAAGTAAGAAACATGTATTTACATAACTTGGGACAATGAAGGAGGTAAATTCCAAATGACGTTGTATGTCAAAGTATTCCAATGAAATATATTTGAACAAGGATAAAAACCGATCGAGTTTCCATCGACATATATTGTTCTGATCAGTTATATCAAGCCTGGGTGGAATTTAAAATCAACAACCTCTATTTATTCTTAAGTGTGAAGATCACGAAATCTAACTTGATCTTAAGTTACTAGGAATCACTAGTATATATGGTAATGATTTTATGACTGGTAGCGGATCTCGTACTTATATAAACAAACTATGAAGTTTTTTATCTGTTTCCATTCGATAATTTTAATTCTCTTGTTCTATGTTACGAATAGATGTAATACTGACGTCAGAACATTTGAATTTAAGTGGGTTTAAAATCTAGGTAAGAATAGTTTTCTGTAGTTCGGCTGGTCGTTTAAGGAATAACGTCTTGAATGCGGTGACTTAGTGGTCAAGGAGTTCGATTTTCAATTGATAAGTCTCAGATTCGAACCCCTCTTCACCTATGTCCGTTCAAGGAAACTGGTTGTATCACTACTAGCTCTTACACTTAGAACGTGGCTAGAAGCCATGTACATAAATCAGTACCTGGCAAATAAGTTAAATGATGAATGCATACAATGAATGAATCAAAACTGTACTACGGAAATCCATACAAATCAAAGTGAAAAGAATTAATGAATAAAACAGTGAGCAATGATATTTCACCTTTTACTTGATCTTCTTGGATTGTAAAATCATCAATTTTGAAAGCCTAGATAAAATATGAATAAAAAGAAACGGGGTGCAATGTTCTAGACGCTCAGAAAAATGTTAAAAGCAACAACGTTTAATAACTGTACGTTCTTACCATATATTTATCTCAGATCACAGTAAAGACTTAAGTTATCCAGTTACTAATATCAGGAACTGAATTCTGATCAGTCTTCGTTGGCATAAGTGTACCTTATGTATATCGCCTAGAATAGATGCATAATGGCTAGCAGTTGAATTCAGGACACAAATTTCGTCCTATTAGGGACTTGTCGGCTAGATGTATATGTCACATAATAGTGTTGATATTCACACCCAGACTCGAACCCAATAATTTTCGCTTCAAACCCTCAATGGGTTACCCACCAAGCCACTGAATGCAGACAACCACTTTGATGTGGATATCAATACTGGGATGGAGGTATATCCAAATGACGAGTACCAAGAGTGGCGAAATGAGTGTTTTAAGCCCCATTGTTAGCCACACACCAAATTATTTTGCCGTTTATTAATTAAGATGGATCTCTTGGTTTCATAAAAAAGTTAATTCAAAGTGTCATAAGAATAGAGAATATTAATGAGTAAGAAACTATAGTTAATAGTCAAAGTAGATTTATAACGAAACTTTTATCTTGAAAATATGTGTCGTGGTTTCCTGGTATTCACTGGTCACTTAAATTCTGATTAACGTCCCCGAGTTCGAATCCATGGATTTATAGTTAAACGTTATCAGTCTAAATTATTGTGTGGTAACCTTTTTGTCTAAACCACTTTTGAAACTATTATGTCACTCACTCTGAGTTTTTATGTATAGACTTATGTACTTGACTTCAAGACACATTATAAATGTGACGGCTAGTGATACCAATCAGTTGCCAAAACGGAAGTATATGAAACGGTTTTCGAATCTGCGACTTAGTAGTTGAACGTCTAACGACTTAATCACCGAACTGCCTATCCATCATTAGTCTGAAATTTTGATAGTTCTTTTACAGCTTAAATATCACTGTAAATATGATACTGGGTATGTTGATCTGCATAGCTCTTATCTCAGTGATGTCATATTGGGCTAAAAACCTCATCGATTAAGATCTAGGATAACGTGTCAAACATTTAGTGCATTCACGTGGAAAACACGACGGTTATATATATGGTGGTGATGATATAGCACGATGTCCAAGCTGTTCTCTTTACATGCGTGTTATCTATAATATGGTAAGTTCAGTTTGCTTTAATCTGACACACTTTAGGAAAATATACTTCCCAACCTGAAAACACGACGGTTATATATATATATAAGGAAAAACCTTACAGAGGACACTAATTGATCGAATTTCGCTATTGAAATCTGTAAAGTGTCACTTGAGGCATAAATATGGATAGCACATTATTCCATTAATACAGTTTCCCACAAGTTATTTCTAAGCTAATCCATATGTCCATGAGTTTTTAAAATAGTAACAGATTTATACAAATAATGATGTAATTTTATACTACTAATTAGTAGTTGAAACCATTTGAAACATTTTTCGCGGTATGGAAAAATAGAATCTCAACGTGTCAATATGCTTTTATCATTCGGTCTTATTTAATAGAATCTAACATACGAAGATGAAAAACTCTGTTGAGAAGTGTGTGGTACGCCTTGTATGTACTGTATATATGTACAACATATTTTCCATGATAAATCTTATAAATTGATCGGATTAATGCATTTATGATGATCCAACTGTAATTTTCATTATCAACTTAGGTTAGTATTTTGCTTGATGTTCCCCATGATTTGTACTTTTGCATTAAGTGACAAAACTATTTGGAAAGTTTTCTCAACTCAGTTTACCACAATTCTTTTGTTTCTATTGCATCTATCATGTTAGCATTATTTATTATTATTAATTCGGTTGAAAGATTTTCAGCTTCCTACTCTGTTGTCAACGAAAATAGTTACTTTTATTATGCGTTTGGTGACCTTTTGAGACTTCTTTTTTCTAAAAAATGTCTACTTTAAGAATTACGAATTATTCGTGAAAGCAATTGAATGACAGCTCTCTTAATATATTTCACATTGACATTGACATATATTTCATATGGTATTGTTTTAAACCAAAATAGAATAATGAAATAATGATATCTCAATGAGTAAAAATAAGAATTCTAATTTCTGCTTATTTTATTACTAACATCCCACTCAATGTTCAATTTATTTGAACTTATCAAATCTAGCTTTAGTGGACACGGAGGATCCACCCAGGGGAGTTGGAAAACGCTGATTTCAAATCAATGGTAGACATGGGATCCACGATCCTGAAGGAACAAATGGCGTATGAACCAAATGTTGGTCACCGGCTACCATAGGACTGCATCGGCTGACGTTGCTCCACTGCCTTGTGGATTAGACATTCAGGTCAAAGGCTCGAGCTGTGGCAAACTAAGAAAACTACCTAATTTGGTTTTGGCACTCAGGGAGTACCCGAGCCCTCACATAAATCGAATAATTTATGTGGTGCATATCTGTTTGGTGCCTTCTTGTGCCAATGTCTGTGTTTAAATAAATAAATAGTAATTACCTTAGTGATGATAATTACAAAATAGATTAGTTTATAGAAGTGAAAGAAAACTGACAGTCAATACACTTTATTTCATATAGTTACAATAATTTTACAGAAAGATAGTTAGGTTATGAAAGATCCAAACAAACACAAATGAATGACAATAACAATCAAAATCTTAAATCATTAACTTACCATTCTTTGAATTAAATTTTTACGCCAACAATTACGAAGAACTGTATGATAATTGTGTAAATCAAATGAATTAATCCAAGGTGTAGTTCTAGTTCTTATCGACTGATTAGTGTGATTTGTTAAACACTGTTTTCTTCTTAATAACGATGGTGATCTTTTGTAGATTGGATTTAACGGTATAATTGATAGACGGACAGATCTAGCGCATAAACTATGCGATCTTATTGATTGGGATGTTTTATTTAACTTTGTATTTTCTAAATGAATAGAAGGTGTCCTTATTGGTAAAGGGAGTAAATATTTATCATTCAGTCCATTCTGTGTGTTACCAATACGTGTTGATGATAAATGCATTTGTGGTGCTAATTTATAACTGTGATTCTTGTGTAGGTGTCTTATTGATTTACAATGTTTTCCTTTAATACCAAAACAGTCTATACTAATACGGCAATCTTCCCAATCTGCACCACTGTGTTGACATGCGGAGGTAGAAGAGAATTTATGACATATCTGATTGACCAATGATGGTGAAGTGTGGCCAGTATTGGCAATTATTGATTTTTGTGGAGTAAAATAATTTTTAGTATGCAATAATGGTGGTAGGGATGTAGAACGTAATTTTTCACCGAACCTTATGGTAGAGGAATTTTCTTTTGATACTAGACGATGATTATTGATGTTGTCAGATAAATTTGATAGAGGCTTGTAAACATTTTGTTGCACACAATTGTTGTTTACACTATTAATACTATAATTGCTATTACAGTGATTACTAGTATCATTATTATTATTATTAGTATTATTGATACTTAAAGTGATGTTATAACATCCATTTACTTTTTTATATGAATCATTATTGAAACGTGTTGTCGGTATAGTAATGTACTGATCAGATACATGACGATTAAGCAAGCGTGATTCATGTAAATTCTGATGACTTTTCCATTGTCGTTGAAAATTTTGTGTATTCTGTGTGACGTATGATACAGGTTGCTGGTAGATATAACCATCATTATTTATTTGTAAGTAAGTGCGCGTTACCATATTACATAAGTTATCAGTGAAAATGAAAAGGCACTTTTACGAAAGTCGAAAGAAATCAGATTGGTAACAATGAAAACAAATTTTACGTGTTATTTGTTCGTATATGTCCAGTTGTCTAAAAAATAAGATTAGTATGGAAAATAATGTTAACAATAATGATAATAATATTTACAATTGGTTTATCACTAAGCAGTGACTAATGTCATGTATGTTAATTCTTTCTTAGTGCTGATCGAATTCCATCGATCAAGTTTCAGTGTGGTACTGATCTAATTGATTCGACATCGCGTGCACTAATTTGAGATGTCAGCTGGTGATGGAATGTGGAAGACAGGAAACTCTAGATCTAAGTTTCATGCCATTTCACACTCGTCAGAAAGGGTAAATGTAATATTGAGGAAAGTGTTGCTGCCCTGTCAGCCAGCCTCATACCTCAGTCCTATAGGAAGTCAGTCGCTAATCGGTAAGTACAGTGGTGACGTCTTTGACAGTTAGACTGGATCGAATCCGCCAGAGAGTATCAGATTATTGAATAATACATGTATTTCTTGCAGATGAGTTCTAAATACCATCAAACCTAGGCCCAGTAATTCCTGCCGACTACCTCCAACTACCACCTTATAATCACAAATAATAATACTTTGTTCTCAAGCAGCAGTAAGTTACATTAGGCATGTCTGTAGTAGGTTACAACAGGGATATATTTACAGTAGATTAAAATAATTCGTTCGGACAGGATCTCTCATATATTCATCAGTATTAATATGACTGTAGAGGGTTAGTGTGGATGATCCAAATTTATAGATTGCATCACGGAATAACCTTAGATAACTACTGAAAAATAGGAAGCATCAGATAACCGTTTATTCTTAGTATGGTACTTCTCAGTAGTGGACATCCACAATGTCATCAGGGACTTTATCCATGCACTCCACTTCTTTGCTTACTTTCTATCCAGGTTTGACTTCCAGTAGTCAGTATCAAATTAAAATTAATTCATACTTTACATCACACAATGAATTTAGTTAAACAATCATTGAAAATAATTTTTGTAATGCTGTAGTGTACAGGATAAGGACGAAATAGCTATGTAGTGCCCTCATTAGTTCTTTTAGTGTCTGTCTAGTTTTCGATCAGCAAACTATTTAGACTGATTATACAGTCTTCAAAACTTTATTATACTAATAATATGAATTTACCTTATTCATTTCATTCTATATTGAAGGATAATTCAAATTAATGTTATTTATTATTTTATTTACTAAAATTGTTATCTAAATGAATTAGTAGTTCCGTGTTTTTTCACATTTAACGTCAATAGTAATTTCGTAGTTGGACTCATGAGTCGATTGAAGTTAGACCACCATAGTAAATCTGGAAGTACTGGACAGCCGTTTCGTTCTAGTATGGGACTCCTCAGTAGTATGCATCCACAACCCCACCTCGCGAGATTCGAGGAGTCCCATACTTGGATGAAACGGCCGTCCAATACTTCTAGGTTTTCCATGGTGGTCCAGCTTCAACTGACTCATGAATCCAACTATTAAATTACTATAATATCCACAAACCCCTATCTGATTATAATTATCATATGCTCACTAGTGACGGCCTTCAAGAGGTATTTCTTGGAGTTCTAGTGAGAAGCAGTGACCAGTGGAGTTCGTCCGAGTCTGTTGTGAGATAGCAACTCAGTGAGGAAAATGGTGGACGGTTGCGCAACTTCATGGATTAGTTGAAGTTACACATTAACACCGTTGGATGGCGGCCAGGTCAGTGGTCTAGAGGTTAAGGGTTCGCGCGCAAGACCGATAGGTCCTGGGTTGGAATCTCGCGAGATGGGATCGTGGATGCGCACTGCTGAGGAGTCCAACAATGCGACAAAACGGTTGTCCAGTACCTCCAGGTTTTCCATGGTGGTCTAGCTTCAATCGACTCATGAGTCCAACTACTAAATTACTATTGACTTTAACTGTGAAAATAACACGGAGGTTGGAGGTAGTCGACAGGAAACTCTGGACCTAAGTCTTGTGCTACTTGGCACTCGTTAGGGAGGTGTACCTGTAATTTTGAGGGAACTGGTGCTCCCTGAAGAGTTCGATCCCGTGCCCTCCAACTTCACAGCCAGAGACGTTATCACTGAGCTATACGGGTGGGAACTGACATCCTGTAGGACTGAAATGTAATCACAATTGATTGATCACGCAATGTCGAGTTACCTAGAGTAGTGGCCACATTGCAACTTGGTCGATAGTATTCGATCTGAACTAGTAAGGACTTGACACACATGACATTGATCACCACCCAGTGATCAATCAATTGTGGTTTCCATGGTGGTCTAGCTTCAATTAACTCATGAATCCAACTATTAATTTACTTTAATATCCACAAAATCCCTCTGTGATTAAATTCAATAGGTTTAAATTAAAAAAATATAGGTGTTGAATATGTTTACCATTAGATGTCTATTATGATTAACCTATTTGTAAATCATTTTAAAAGTTTATTTCAATAAATAGAATATAAATTTAATATGAAAATAATATAAGTAAACTTCAGATGTGAATAATATCAAAAACTGAATCATAATTCAGTTGAATAACAAGTGACTACTTATTGTTGACTAAAGTTTGTCAAGACTTCTTTTTAGTTCTAATATCTATGTCAATAGATCACTGGTTGATACATTTAAATTGTTAAAACCTTAATTTAGTTACCTAATCAGTGACAATGTAACATCAGATCTCTTGTTTAATTTCATATAAAATCAGGAATATACACACTAGTCACTTGGTGTTGTTTCACTTGAATCTTCCCATTGATGTTTTAAGACTGAAATTGATCAATCTCTTATTGGCATATGTGCATACTGTGCGTATGCCTCGATATTGTCTTAATTTACAAGCATTATAATCAAAGATGAATAGTGGCTAGCAGTGGAATCCAGTTTGACGCGCGTTTCGTCCTGTTTGGGACTCGTCAACTGGATGTACCTGCATCTCAGAGTTGATGTTCACTCTAGGACCACACATTATTGATTTATTTGAAATGAAGATGTTTCATGATCTTTATTGTTTCAGTTAATCTTACTTTCTGAAATAAATCATACATCATTTGAAGTTGCTTTTATTTATTAGTTTATGTTCAACAATAATCAAAGAATTAAAAACAAAATTGGCACAAATTTCTTATTGATTTAAATTTTCAAGGTTATTTTGTCGTTACCCAATTTTACCTTGACAAAATCAATTTGAAAAAAAAAACAATTAGATGAATACGTTTTTCATTGTCAGTTTCTCTTGAATTCTAGAAATTATTAGACAAGTCACTTACAAATACCAACATTACCCATCTTGAGAGTCTAAACATGTAAACACGGAAATATTATTATTATGAAATAGCATATATGCTGTCTATGATGAATGCCAAAATGAATTACATGTTTATAATGTTCGATGGTTTTGTTTCATAATTTCATATTACAGACTGACTTTAATGAGATAAACATTAAAAATAAAAAAGCACACAACAACTATTTTGTGCATTTATGAAAATTCTTGACTTTAAGGATTAATATTTTTATCAGGGATCGAAATCAAGACTTTCAGGTGTCATGGTGATCACCGAATTTTCAGACCACTAAGTTGGCAACTTATAGTTCATGTATAATATCTGAGTCGGTTCATGATTATTACTGAATAGTCGTCTGTTGCCATTGGTCACTTTTGTTTCACTTTTCATGTTGCTGAAGTGATTACAGATTCTCACTTTGGTATTTACCTCCCAAATTAGTCAATAGTAAATATATGACAAGGAGTCTATGAGACAGTGTCAATTGTCTAGGTGACATATAATAGCTGATTTTATTTTGTTGGGAATAGATCATTTTGTTTATTCTTTCTTAGATTATTTATTCCCAGTTTATAAGATAACCATAATATAATAAAATTTCTGGTGAATAGTATGAATACAATTTATACTATACATTACTAATATATGTCAGATTATATAGTATTATGAAAATCAATTCATTCATGTACGTGCATTTACTTACTTTAAGTAATAATACACCAAATTCTGTTAGTACGCCATATTTATTTATTTAAACACATAAATATTGGCACAAGAAGGCACCAAACAGATATGATGTGATAGTGCCCGGGTGCCCAAATCGAAGCAGGTGGTTTTCTTAGGAGGCCACAGCTCGACCCTTTGACCTAAAGGTCTAATCAACAAGGCAACGGAGCAACGTCAGCCGATGCAGTCCTATGGTAGCCGGTGACCATCGATTGGTTCATACGCCATTTGTTCCTTCAGGATCGTGGATCCCATGTCTACCATTGGTTTGAAATCAGGGTTTTCCAACTCCCTTTGGGTGGATCCTCCATATCGATCAGCCCGGTTAGGGCACCAGACGTTCGCTTTTCGCCATGTCAATTTCTAAACAACAGTAGTGCCGCGAGAAGGCAGTGAGTAGTACTTCCCTGACAGTGCTTGTATGCACGTGGCCACTTTAAGAGCATTTCGAGATGGAGAGGTAACTCTCTCCACCCTCGGCTGTACCAGGGCATTTGGAGCTCTGTTTAGTGTGAACGTATTTTTTTTAATGAACTAAATTAATTAATAGAGGTTACTGATTTGAGACTGTTCAGTGATGTATACTTGAACTCGATCGAATCCATTTGTTAATGTATTAAACTACAGAACATTATGATTTTAATTATAAATTATTCTATAAAATAGTATGTAATTTTTCAGCATCTTGTCATGTGTTAATTATGGTAAATAGATTGAAGATTATTGGTAGGATTTATATTTGCTTTTAATAAGCGATTTAATGTAATTCTTGTGATCATTCTACTAAATGGATGAGTTTGGTGGATAACTGAAGGATATTTTACTAATTTTTCATCAATGATCTAAAGGTCTAAGGGGTGTCATTTTACGAAATATGAATGGTTAAACTGTCTGCAGCTTTCAGAGATTGAGTGAACTCTTAAGTGTCGGTACTACTACTACTACTACTGATAATAATAATAACAATCCATTTGTTGATATTGATCAAAACAGTTGTGTAAAGAAAAAAACTTAGATCGGTTCTTGATTCAGTGACACTGT